AACTAAACTCACTCACTCACTAGACTAGCTGTCTACCAAAATACCAGTCTAGCTGTCTATCTATATGCCACACTAGCTGTCTATAGATGTACCTGTTCAGTGATTTGATTTATTCATGTCTAGCTGTATATCTATCTACCTTTCAGGGTTTATATATAACTATATATTTATGTACCAGTTTAGGTGTTTACCTCTCAAATTGTCTACATAAATACTATACGCTGTCAACATTCTCCATACCTGTGTAATTGAATACTTTCCAAGCAATCCAACAGATCGATTTACCATCTAACATGCATGAAGGCACAACAAAGACAGGCTTGTGAAGAATGTGATTTATTGAGTGCAGAAAGCCCCAGGGCGGGAGACGGAGTCTACAGTCGGAGAACCAGTTTACATGGTGGCAACGTTTGGAGACAACCTAAAGTGTTATGCAGAGAACAGGTGACCCTCCACTGTAAACGTAGAGACATTCTTATTACAGTCAGAGAACCAGTTTACATAATGGCAACTTTTGTAGGCAGTCTATAGATTTACACTCTTCGTGTACACGTCTTGAAATATCATGCTGTTTAAACACGCCATGTGTAATTTGAACTGTATGAATTACGTTATGCGTTATGCATCGTCTTAGATGATGGCGAGTATTGTGTACGCCGCTTTTAGAAATTTCCAGCAATAAAACGGTTCATGGCTGGGCAGACCAGAAATGGGCTTAACACAATGTACCCATGTTTGGAATCGAACCTGGGTCTTCGGCGTCATGAGCAACAACTTAACCACTAGCGTACCCTAATGATAAGGATAACGCATAACGTAATGATTCGTGTATTGTGCCTGGCACAATGTATACCTTTACAGATAATAAAATGCATTCCTTAAATGATCCGCTCCAGAGCAACATTAATCTGCCTAACACATATATGGCATGAATCAACTAGTGGTACCTCAGAGTAGCATGGATGATATATACGACTAGTCACATTTTGTATGGATAACCGAGTTTTCTAGTCGCTGTACAGTGTCAACCGTGTACAGTCTGAATGGTGTACAGTTGTACAGAAGTCTCGGAAAGTTTCGCCACAGCATTGATTGTCATACTGAGTTCAGAGCCCTCAGGAACAGGTGATGATATGAATATCATGAACATCATAAATAACAATTACTAAACTTTCAAATTGCAAAATACACAACAATAATGCATAATGTACTATACAGTGAAGATATGAATGTAACTTGTAATTGTGCTATATTACATCTCTTGGGCACAGTTCTAGTATCTAATGAAGTTAATAAAAGTTAATGGTATGTTTAACGCCAGAAACATCTTGTGCTCAACATTATATATGTACATAGTGTATATACATCATTAGACACGTATGATGATAGTGTGTAACATCTATCTGTGTCATATTCACATTTGTAGGATTACCTCTGTGAATTAGAACACAATTATATCCCTGAATAATATTCCAACACGGACACCATAACCGTGTCGCGAGTAGGGTAGTGGGTGTGGACATGACGGGTTTCTGAGTTCGGATCTCGGGTAGGGGTCACACTCGAGACCAAAGCCAGAAGCTATTCATTAATTCACACACAAGCTCCGTACAACACAGACAACATATTATCACTGCGGGTGTTTCAATGTACACTGCGTTCTTTCGTCCTTAAAGAACAGCAACGCTAATTCTGATATAAAAGCATATAAGTGTAAAAGGTGCATAAGCTTGTTCGTATCGATGTAAAAGCTATGTTAATTCATATCATATATACAAACACGTATTCATTCAAACTTCATACACACCTGAAATATGGAATTTAAACATGCAAGCAAGCAAGCAAATACTAATTGAAGCATCCCGATGCTTGACTTTGCAAATGTCTCTGTTACATGCCTCCTGTTTTCATCTAACAATGAATTAATTTTCCATCCTTGTCTCAAAGTTAATGAAGCGTACATAAATGATAAACCATGGCGAATTGTTTCAAAGGTTTTTCTTAAAAGGAACGTGTAGCGCTGGTTTGTGGGTGAAAAGGATTAACGCTACTCTAGTTACGTCAGATTAAGATGGAAGGACAACCTTAATGAAGCCTACGATCAAGGAAATGGTTCTGACATACCTAGGAACATGGGATTCGGATCTATGAACGTAGGTTCCTGGTATGCCCAAGGGACGCAACCGTGGGCAGCGAATCGTCGGGGCTTGGAGTTCCTGGCTACCCCCGTCTCCCCACCCCCACTAAAGAACATGTAGCACTAATCCGTATCACAGCAGTGACAATGTCACTCCGACCCATTGAAATAGATCTACTTACTCATTAAGTGTGAGAGTAGATTCGGAATTGTCTGAACGTTACTCGAACAAAGAAAACATTATTTTATTGTCAAACCCACTGATCGATGGCAATAAACTGCAGCCTCCGTCTGCTTGAATTAGCCCTCACTCCAGTACACAGCAGATGCTCTTCCTCCCCATCAGTATTGATTGCACCATATAGTTTCCCAACTTGAGTCAATTTCCTTAATTTGTTAGTCTTGGGTTCTAACTCGATAATGTCTGAATTATCGACTTATATTACTCTATATTTAACATGTGCACTCGCAATAAACGACTCGAAGGCGAAATAGTTGGTTTCCAAGTTCGTTTCTTCCTAAATAAGTTCAAATTTTTTAAAAAGGATATCCATTATCCAATTTCGCAAAATTTTCTTTTGTGTTTCGATCCTGTTTTTTCCCTGGAATGATTAGGGCTTAATTTACCTTTTTCTAAAGAATCCCATTCCGTTCTGGAAGCTTGCGTTTTAAGTTGCTCCTAGTCAGACATTCCTGTTTTAGAGTACAGCCTTTCTCAAGCTACTTAACACCAAATTTCGATCTGCCCGAAATAGTATCAAGCATCACTTATCAGTAACACTGACACAGAGACTGATTTTCAGTCTCTTTCTACCCTGCTGTCAGTGATCAGTTCGTCCTATATTGCTTAAGACCATGCGGTTAGCTTCTATATTATTCCATCAAACATCCATTGATCGTTGGCCTAGAAGATTAGAAATTAGACACAATATGTCTCCATTTTCCTATAATTGCTATTTGAAAAGCAGGAATGATGGAAGTATTTTAAGCGTGTCGTCATTTCGTCAGCTGATAGATACCAGGGCCGATGTAGCTTGTCTGAGGAAACGTCAAGTTCAATTAGAAAGATCAATACCATCTACATGCCCAAAAGACCCGAGACTAGAACGAACACAATTAACTCTCCTCGCGGTTGGCATTTAACCCACCTCGTCTTCACAATGAACCCCTAACGTCCATTCCAATATACAGGTCCCGGGAGAGCGGGGAAAGTATCCCAATGTTCAACACTGAAGAACTCTGAAAAGAATTACCTTAAACACAGGAGAGCCCTCTGAGGGTTTAGTGTCATCAAATAACAGCTCCCTAAACGTATACTCTCAGCCCACGGACACCATCTGAATGTTTACGAGAGTGGACGTAAATTGGCCAATCCCCCGGTCGTTCTATAACGATAAATGAATATGTGTTTCTGTCAAATAATAATAAGCATCCTCATCCCGGGTTTTCCTAATTTGCCTAGACGCTGCAACATGTCTATGATTGTACCGCCACCCAGATCAAATTCTAAACACTACCGGGCAAAAGAAAGTATACGTTCGAAAATTGGATATGAAAAAAACCTTACGTCATCAAAACGTTTCTGAAGGCCACTGGGTTGAAAAGAGTCGCCATAACACTGTACACATATGGTCTAAAACACAAGCATGGCATCCGTATGAAAAACTTCATCATCTAATGACCTTTGTTTGTTACATGTCCTGCCGGCTGCAAAATGGGGTGCATTTTCTTTTTGGCTCAGCTGTAAATTTCCATCTGTGAATTATGATGACCAAATCGTTTAATCAAAACACAGTCGAACCTGTTAATATGTATTAACACGGAATATCTACCGCGGATTCAGCCAATCAGGTGAAAGTTGATAGCATTGATATACAATAATATTCTTCACGTTAAACACTTATCTTGCTAAGTTCTTGTTCGAATTTCTTTAATTTGTTTCAACAGAAGTTCGACAGTGCATAGAAATATTTTGTGTATGCGAGTATGAATACAGTACTACATCCGATTGAAAACCACGGTAGAGTTGTAAACATGACGTTTCTTATCAAACCTCAAACGTTTAATAGCAAATCAACCTTGATTTTCGCTTTAACGAATGGTGGACATTGACAATGGCATCGTGGATTTGTCGTTACTGGATTAGGTATGATCAGAGACCGTCGGTATATGGTCTCTGGTATGATGGAACCAGATGTGATTCTTGGTGACCTTTACTTGAATAAAGTAATGTACCTGCTATATGTACAGATATTGTGATCTCACCCATAACAATAGGACTCTCACATGTGGTGAAAATCCCACTGGAGGACAAGAGTTACATACCCTTCTGTCTACTGCTTGATGAGTAACCTTGACCTTCAAAATAAGCCTAGCCTACATGGGACACTAATACTGTCAGAGTGATGCTACATTCGACCTGCCTGGCGCCGTATACATCCTCACACGTACATGATTACAATATAGTTGACATAATAGACGCTGAACATGCACTCAGTCACTTCAGACGAAAACCAAAATTGATATAAGGGAATTGATAGGGCATAACCGATACTACTAGTTGGTCGTACAAACGGCAGCGGAACCTCGTTTTCGTCAGGACCCTGTTTAACCTGGACAAAACATAGTTCGGATTAATGAGGTTCTGAGTGCAGATGCTCTAGGGTCTTCTGTGACATACATTGCACTGGAATATGCTGGGACTGGAATGTTGGTGTGGGGGATTCTGGTCCGAGTGGCATGGGTGAGGGGAGAGGGGTGGGGTGGTGTCGGGGGTGGGATGGGGTGGAGTTTTAAGGTGATGTCGTGGTGGATATGGCTAGTTGTATATATGTGTAAGGTGTCGAGCTAGATTTAGGATTTTCCGCAAAACCAGTTAGGATATAATGAATGTTTAGAGTGAAAACCTTACCCTGAATATCTTTTTTCCATTTTTGTGTGTAAGTTATGATCATTATTATTATCAGTTCAGTCACACCTCTCGTCTATGGTGTGAGAAAAATAATGACAGACAGTTGTTGATATCAGACAGCGAATGTCGTCAGGATAATATGATCTCCATTTCGTATTTTTCGAAAGCGAATAGTGACAAAGTTTTACTTTTATTGCTTTTAATACCTCATTTCATCTAACGTAAGTTAAACAAACAACTGCAAATAACAACAACGATGTAAACGTGGCAGATTACTGCGGGTATCGCTCATGATGAGAGCGTGAATGACGTCACGGGTTTGCGTGTGGATAGGATGGTGTGAGTACAAGCCAGAAGATGTGATACTTATCTAAAGGTACAGCATAATATATACACACATATTGAATAGTAAAAATAAAGCATTATCCTTTTAAATGGACGATATATAATTATATAATAACATTGCATACTTTGAAAAATAAGTTCTGGTTAAAATCTGTTGGCTTCACTTTGATGGAATATTGGAAATGGTTGTAAAATATACCCCATCGTGTTGTATACATTCGAATCATACAACCATTCTCGGCTCTGAATGATTGTAACACAGTACTCCAAACAGGAACATGAGTATTTACACTAATATATAGTTTCACGTGAGTGGTGTAATAATATCATCGCTTGTGACTTTTTGTTGATGACGTCATGGCACTGTTGTTGCTATGGTAACATTTTAAAGGATGGCGTTTACAGTTTACTCCTTGGAGAGGAGGCTTCACAGGGAGCGCGGAAAAGGGGATGGTCAGGTATTAAAAAATAGTTTCATGATCGACACGAAGAACTGTTAGACAGAGGTAGAGCTGAAACTGTTGTCATGAGAGACAAGGGTCGGACTGGAGATTGGAGTTATGTGAGAGACAAAGATCGGGCTAGAGATTGATGGCATGAGAGAGAAAGATCGGGCTAGAGACTGACGTAATGAGAGAGGAAGGTCGGGCTAGAGACTGACGTAATGAGAGACAAAGATCGGGCTAGAGATTGATGGCATGAGAGACAAAGAACGGGCTAGAGACTGACGTAATGAGAGACAAAGGCCGGGCTGGAGAGTTATGTCATGAGAGACAAAGGTCGGGCTGGATACTGATGTCATGAGTGAAACAAAGATCGGGCTAGAGACTGACGATATAAGAGACAAAGACTGACTGACTGACTGAATTTCGTTTTACGCCGCTTTTAGCAATATTCCAGCAACATCACGGCGGGGGACACCAGAAATGGGCTTCACAAATTGTACCCATGCGGGGATTCGAACACGGGTCTTCGGCGTGACGAGCCAACGCTTTAACCACTGGGCTACCCCACCGCCCCATAAGAGACAAAGGTCAGGCTAGAGACTGACGTAATGAGAGACAAAGTTCGGGCTGGAGAATGGTGTCATGAGAGAGACAAGGATCGGGCTAGAGACTGACGTAATGAGAGACAAGGGTCGGACTGGAGATTGACAGAATGAGAGACAAAGGTCAGGTTAGAGACTGGCGTTCTGAGAGACAAAGGTCGGGATGGAGGCTGACGTAATGAGAAACAAAGGTCGGGCTGGAGACTGACGTACTGAGAGAGACAAAGGTCGGGCTGGAGACTGACGTAATGAGAGACAAAGTCGGGCTAGAGACTGACGTCCTGAGAGACAAAGGTCGGGATGGAGACTGACAAAATGAGAGACAAAGGTCAGGCTAGAGACTGACGTACTGAGAGAGACAAAGGTCGGGCTAGAGACTGACGAAATGAGAGAGGACGGTCGGGCTGGAGAATGGTGTCATGAGAGAGATAAAGGACGGGCTGGAGACTGACGTAATGAGAGCCAAAGATCAGGCTAGTGACTGACGAAATGAGAGAGGAAGGTCGGGCAGGGGATTGGTGTTATGAGAGAGACAAAGGTCGGGCTGGAGACTGACGTATAGAGAGCCAAAGATCAGGCTAGAGACTGACGTAATGAGAGAGGAAGGTCGGGCTGGAGACTGATGTCATGAGAGAAATAAAGGTCAGGCTAGAGACTGACGTAATGAGAGACAAAGGACGGGCTGGATAATGGTGTCATGAGAGAGATAAAGGACGGGCTGGATATTGATGGCATGAGAGAGAAGAAGGTCGTGTTTTTAGACTGGTGTCATGAGAGACAAAGGTCGGGCTATGATGATGTCATGAGAGACAAAATAAACTACTTATCAAATCAGATGATAGAATCAAAGGTCAGGCTAGAGACTGAAGTCATGAGAGACAAAGATCGGGTTTGAGACTGACGTAACGAGAGACAAAGATCGGGCTGGAGACAAACGTAATGAGAGACAAAGGTCGGGCAGGACATTGGTGTCATGAGAGAGACAAAGATCGGGCTGGAGACTGACGTAATGAGAGACAAAGGTCAGGCTGGAGACTGATGTCATGAGAGACAAAGGTCGGGCTGGAGACTGATGTCATGAGAGACAAAGGTCGGGCTGGAGACTGATGTCATGAGAGACAAAGGTCGGGCTGGAGACTGATGTCATGAGAGACAAAGGTCGGGCTGGAGACTGATGTCATGAGAGACAAAGGTCGGGCTGGAGACTGACGTAATGAGAGACAAAGTGATCTACTTGTCAAGTCAGATGATATGATGACAGGAATACCAACCGGAGCTACATACCACGCACGACACCAGTCAAAAACCGGGTTTGAATTGGTCTTAGCACCCAGTGTATCTTTGGAGTTCAGGGAGTGATGTAATAGCAGGTAAACTGATTATCTTGTTAATGGGGTTGTGGTTGTATCGTATTCAGTATTATAGCGTTATTATGCTGGAAAATGTCCGCCCATTGTCTGGATGCGTGGAATGAGCGAGGAACAGTGATGATTATGTACCTAAACCACAAACACACTTCAGCAGTCTATTACCCACAACTGCCATACTGATTGCGGCGTTTGACCCAACTCATTCCGCTACAAACATACATCAGTATGTGTCACCATCCCTACAGTCTCCACATATAAATGATCTGTTGTTCAATATACCGTTTACAGCCGTTATGCAACTGACACTAGTGACTGACTGAATGAGTGAGTGAAGTGAGTGAGTGTGCGTGAATGAGTTCGGTTTAGTGCTGGGTTCAACAATATTTCAGTTAGATCCAAATTAATGCCAGCCTGAGGTGTTGTCCGTTCCAGAGCCGGAATAGCGACAGCAAACCCACAGACATGACCAGGTTGAACCAGTTTAGTTTCTGGCACGGCTAAGACGAGAAGATTGGATATGGATAGGGGGTCGGGCACTGCTGATATCATGTAAGAACAGGAGGTCGGATATAGGTGATATCATGTCAGATCAGGAGGTCGGATATACGTGATATCATGTCAGATCAAGAGGGTCGGATATAGGTAATATTATGTCCGATCAGGAGGTCGGATATAGGCGATAGCATGTCAGATCAGGAGGTCGGATATGGTGATATCATGTTAGATCAGGAGGTCGGATATAGGTGATATTATGTCAATATAGGTGATATTATGTCAGATCAGGAGGTCGGATATAGGTGATATTATGTCAGATCAGGAGGTCGGATATAGGTGATATTATGTCAGATCAGGAGGTCGGATATAGGTGATATCATGTCAGATCAGGAGGTCGAGACAAGTACTATTATGTAATATCAGGAGATCGGGTGGAGGTGATATCGCGTTAATGTTTTGTCGGGATGCGTGATAGTGTGATTTGATTGTAAAATATTTAGCTCTCCTTTGTTAGGAAGTTAGCACCACGTGGCTATTTGGGGAGACACTCTGTGTCCCGAGTAGACGAAATATGATGTGCCAGAGTTTGTTGTAACATCATGTAAATATCTTCACAACTAATCATTATTAGTCTACCACACCAAATGACACAAGATGAAAACGTTGTTTACACACAGGAGCTAATACGTCATCCATGAACCCGGAATCATTCAGAACATCCTGATGTCCTCGATCCTTATGCACACTGGTTCACTCGGGTATTCTTACGTTACTTCCTTTGTCCTTGTCAGGTTCTGTACGGTCGCTGTATTCACCATCCAGCACAACCCATGTGGTACTCACTCGTCTTGTGGCTTCTCTTGGTTCAAGAATCACTTTACTCCACAATGGACATCTAACTACTCAACCAATCAAACCGGGCTTCACAATAGCTTAAGATTGCAATATCCAGGGCAAACCTTATCTTAAGCATCTCGTCCTTGGCCACCGTCGTTCTTGTCGACTATAACAGTAGATATACCATCGTAAGTGGGTTATTTTCACACACGGTTAATATCACTCTTGTCATTACCACAGGTAGCCATCAAATTCGGTAACCCTCGCCAATGTTGACCACCTGCTTGGCATGCAGTCATCACACCAGGTATCAATCACTCTAGGTAACCGTGACACCGGGTGTCGAACCCTGAATCAGCCATCGCTAGTTGTATAATAGCCTAGGTATCAATGACGCCATGTGTCCACCATTTGGCACACAACTTTTACCTTGTGTAATATCGTCTAGGAATCTCTGACACGTGCGTCCACTACTAATCTATTCTTACCTCGTGGTCAATTCTTACATCCTTTAGTCAACAATAACAAATGTCCAAATCCTTGTCCACCATTACCCCATGTAAAGTCTATTAGGCATCCATGACACCTTGTGTCTAATCCTAGTCAACCATTTTCCTATATAACACACCCCAGGCAACACTAACATCGTGTGTCAATCCCTAGTCAACCATCGCTTCATGTGACCATCCTTGGCAACACGAGCAGGATCTAGACTCCTTGTCTATTCCTTGTCCAGGATACCCAGCTTCATCCCCAACCAGGCAAACTTAGCCCGCACTTCCTCCTGCATCAAGTTAAAGCACATGGCGATCAGAGAAAGTCCGAACACAAGATAGAACGCACAGATAATGAGTTTCTCTTGACTGTCCCAATCATCGGCCGCGCCCGCGGCCCCGGGGACGTAGTCGCCGAAGCCGATGGTGCTGAGTGTGATGAAACAGAAGTAGGACCCAATCAAGTAGTCCCACCCCTCCCATTTGGAGAATATCAAAGCACCACCAAATATATATATAGCTATTATCATGAGACTGACAAACATTGGTACTCTCACAGGATCTTCCTTTTGAGATTTCTGGTCTTCCTCAACCACCACAGACACATCCGTCCCCTTCCCCTCTACCACAGTCTTCCCTCGGAGGGGGTTCTCTTCTTCTGAGTCACCTGACTTCCGGTATCGTATCCTGGCGGAATATGACTTTGATCGTGCTGCACGTGCCTGCGGCGGGCAACACAACCACATGAGACCGATGCAGATTTGCTTGTACAAGCACCGGAAACAGTCTCCCATGAAACTCCCGAGATTGGCGAGACACAGTAAGGTGAGTGGGATTCCGATCAGAGCATACACCATGGTCACCAGCTGGCCGTAGAATGTCTTGGGGGCTATGTGACCGTAACCTGAAAATACAGATGGACATGGTTATCATATCAGCAAAAAACATAATTGAGACGTTAAACGGGGCATCCACCTCTCTACACTGAGTGTGTCTAAAACAAACTAAGTATGTATAGCAAACAAAAACATCCGACAGCTTTACCCGTAATTCATGGTCCCCGTTCCACTAAGCGATCTTAGCGCTAAAGGGGTTCGTAACGCCCATACTTTAACATTAGCCTACAATAGTCGTTAGGTTAAAATTGCTCTGTGAAAATGGACCCTGGACAATACTTCGATGCAGAGTATTATGGCCATACTGGGAACATAACCGTCTACACTCGTCACTCGCGTCGAACGCGCCCGACACGTAAAATATACTACTGTCAGCGCAAAGTCAGTTTATCAACTTATAACACAAACACACACATGCAAACGTGTTACTCGCGCCACTCATGTCACGCGCGCCATACACGTCATCGCGCATGTGGTAATGTCTGTCGGGGCCAGCTACGTACTGTGATAAGATGTCAGTTGTTCCGTCACATAGCACGCAGTGTGATATACATATATCCTTTGTCATAATGATTATGTGCCAGTGTGTATAAAGACTCATGAGTATGGTAGAAAATGCAGTTTCGTGTTTTCATTGGCATGAAACGGAGAGATCTGTAAAGATACCGAGACGAGTTATACAACAAATGTTATATTCATGTGTGTAGATTATACTAAATGAGATGGTCACTGATACACTGGATTCATATTTTGTTCATTTTGAAAAAGTTCTAACCAAAATGCCTAAGCATGCCATGCAGGAACCGCCACACTCTGTCCAATACCAGAGGTCCTGCACCAGCGCCCTGCATCGCCCTGCCCCATTCAAACCGTGGCACTGCTTTGACAATACTTACATGGCCCAAGCCCCCCTGGTCCGCACTGACCAGCCCTGTCATGCCCTGCATCACCTTACCCTTCTACTTCCCGAGTTGCCCTGATCTTCCTTTAATAACTTGAACCCTATCCACCCCGATCTACATTGAATCGCTCCACCCTGCCCAGAACTGACGTTCTGACTTAACCCTACTCACCTTTGCCTTCCAAACCCATCTTGCCACCAAATCCTGCCCTGCCCTGCCCTGCCCTGCCCTGCCCTGCCCTGCCCTGCCCTGCCCTGCCCTGCCCTGCCCTGCCCTGCCCTGCCCTGCCCTGCCCTGCCCTGCCCTGCCCTGCCCTGCCCTGCTGGAAAGCGCTAAAGCATTTAAAGTAAAACTTTATGCAGATCTGAAGACCCGTTACCTTTAAGAAAAGGACGCATTGCCCGATATAAAACTGCGATTAATATTCTCGAAGACATCATGCTTTTACTAAATGTCACGTGAATGAGTCACGTGGGAATCTGGGAATATAAGACGAGTAGAATATTGATGGTGGTTATCAGTTATCATTAGACCACAAGTTGACTCCGGCCCAGCAGAGCATGGCTGAATGGACTTGGTGGATCATTAAAGACACATCAGTTCTGTTATACATCCATCAGTCTGTCCGAGGTCACACGCGCCTATACCCGCCAAAATCAATGGTAATAAACTCAGACAGCTTACACAATTATATCCCCCTCGTTGCACATGCCATTGGAAACGATATCGGCTAAATAATGTCAAACTGATGATGGTCAATATATTGCGAAGTCTTTTAGTTGATACCAGTTGACCGTATCTTCGTCTAAATATCCATGCGGTATGAGCGCCATAGGTATCATCAGCAACATTCAGCAGGATCAGCAACTTTGGCATCATCTTCAGCATCATAGGCATCAGGCGAACCATCAACATAGGCATTATATCACCAGCAAGCGCATCCTCATCGACATAGATAGCATTTGCAACATTCAGCACCATCATCAACATACATCAGCATCGGCAACATTCAGCATCATCAACATACATCAGCATCGGCAACATTCAGCAGCATCGGCAACATAGGTAGATCAGCTAGATACAGCAAGCAGCACCATGCATCATTTGACCGTGTCTTCGTCTATATAAGCATGCGGTATCAGCAATATAGGAAGCATCAGCAATATAGACATCACCTTCATCAACATAGGCATCAGCAGCACCAACAACATAGGCAATATCACCAGCATTCGCAACATCAACATACAGCATCACACAGCAACATTCAGCATCATCAACATATATCAACATCATCAACATTCTGCATCATCAACATATATCAACATACAGCAACACACAGCGACATTCAGCATCATCAACATACAGCAACATTCAGCAGCATAGGTAGAATCAGCAACACCAAACAGCATCAGCAACATAGGCAGCATCAGCAAGATAAACAGCAAGACATACAAGCAGCACCACACAGCATTGCACGGCAGGAACATATCTGCAGCAACCAGTAGCAAAGCCCTACATCAGCATACATTGCTGCTTAGCAACACAGACATGAATCACATCCTCTGAACTCATGTCTAACCCAGCTTTGTCAGGTATCATCGAAGAAATATTACAATTATTCCTGGATTCCAGACGTCATCCATATCAGAGACGTTGTCGGATATCAATAAGGATTTACCGTTGGGTAGACGGAAACCACTCACTATGTAAATACAGAAACACATTCGGGATTCCTGTAGTTGACCGTGTCTGTCATTGAGATCACAACTCTAAATGGTAACGCTTAATTTCAACATCTTATGGTTTTGGATACGGACACAAATTCGCCACATATTACATTTTTTCTGGAGTCATTATAACACCGAGGAAGAATGTTTCTAAAAGTATTTTTTTCAAAGCTTCTTTCAAAGATCAGCAATATGTTCTATCTGCAAACGTTATCCCTCCACAAACAAACATATTTAGATCATATACTGATCATTAGAAAACAGATTCAGGGTTTAACCTGTTTGTTTGTTTGTTTATTTATTTATTGTATGACGCAGCAGTAGTTCCAGCTATATGGTGGCGGTTTGTAAATAATCGAGTCTGGACCAGACAATCCAATGAACAACAGCATGAGCATCGATCTACGCAATTGGAATACAATGACATGTGCAGACCAAGCAAGCGAGCCCGACCACCCGATCCCGTTATAGTCGTCTCGTACGACAAGCATGGGTTGCTGACGACCAAGTCTAGCCCGGGTCTTCACGGGTTTAAGTTCAGACGTATGGGGAGAGACTTACATACTGTTTCGCAAAAAGATCTAAGTGAAATATGGAAGTAATATCACAGTTTCGTTTTCGTTTTCCGAACTAAATCCGAAGAGCAAACAATAAATTTATGGCGGGTGTTCAAGATTATTGCACGTGAAACGAGTGTACACGTGCTTGTGTGTAAGTGGTTGCGTGTGACAACAAGTGCCATCTTTCAGCGCATCTTTGGCCTCACGGCTGGGGAACGAAACAAACACACTTATTCCACTCACTCGATGGTGAGCCATAATCACTCCTTTTAGTTACTTGTATCTTGAGCGTTGGCTCAATTGCCCAAATTGGGCTCAATTCCCCAAATGGCTAAAATATGTGAAGCCTATTTCTGGTGTCCACCTGTCGTGATATTGCAGGAATATTGCTAAAAGCGGCGTAAAAATAAACTCCCTCACTCAATCACTTATTAACAGGGATTCTAAATCTAGTCAGAAACTCATTCTGACATCGAAATATCGAAAAACTTCAAAATTATAATATTCATATATGCAGTCTTCAGAAACAATCATTTCAGACATACATTTAGGTAAGCCAAGTATATTGGCCTGCCAAGTCGAGTTGTTTTGTCCAGTATATAAGTCCTGACAATTCTAAACAGTTTATCTAATAGACTGTCATTTCTTCTCTAATCTTGTTTTTCAAGGCAGAAGGTGTAAAGTCAATACTACTGTCTAGAACGCCGGCGTTCATCTCTAAATCGCATTCCCCAGGCAACTGTTTACTTTCAATTTCAACCGAGTTCCAGCGCTTAGACGGAACAAAACTTTCCAGAAGACCATTCAGGGCAAATTGGTGCTAAATTTAGTTTCCAGCGTTTGGTTGTGTGTGTGAGATTAATCTGATAACTCCGACCTCATTCTTGACATAAACACTTGACAAAAACGAGGCGGACCGGACAAGCTAAGGCAAGCCTGTGCCGTAACCTTCATTATCTTCGCGGAAATGAAAATATAACAAGGGTCATTTTCACCAATCTCGTACCGTCGACGAGACATCACGAGAGCTGCGTAAACAAAATGGAAACGTCTTTTTAATCTATCACTTTTTGCCGGATTTTTTTGTTTAGATGGCGGTTATTAGGTGTCCCTTCAAATCGAGATAGCGTGTAGCGGGAGATCAGCCTTATACGGTAGAGGTACCAGTGATCACGTTTAAAACTGATAAACCAATCGCCAAGCTTCCAGACAGCCCGAGCACGTGTTCCAAACGTAATCAGCTGAGTTTATCGATATTTATGACTTCCCTTTTCATCTGTTATCCATCACAATCGTTCACGTAACATCAAACTCGAACTATCTCGGAAACGATATATTTGGTTGGTTTTCTTCTGAATCATATTCTGAAGAGAAAATGTGTTTTGAGATTCCCATTTCTAAGGTAATTGATCTTTCTATTTAGGTTTTAGAATCCTATGTCATAGTGCAAGGACAGTTTTAGACTGATTGACTTTTAAATGCTGCTTAGATATCCTGTTTAAACTGAAATTAGAATAAGTTCAAAAGATTTCAAAGGAGTCTGCAGTGAGAGGGATTTTTATAATGTGTCTTTGCAATGGGGTCAAATCCAGGCGAAGCCGTAAAAGGGACTATAGATCAACGTATTGTCACACGAGAAATTGAAAATTATCCCCGTTTCTCAGAGTGAAAGATCACGATAGTATGAATGTTAGCTCCACGGGCGTATTAGTTTATTGGTAACCTGTACATCTGGAGATATTCCGTCAACGGGTTTCTTGTCTACATAAGTCGGCTCCCTGTCTCGTACAGTTTGACAATCGTGACACACATGTGACAG